TAAAGAGTCCAAATATTTTACATGAGCATGCTTAAGAGGCAAAGGGGCCAATTATTATTAGATAAATTACTCGAACAAGTTTGTAAACCCTAATCAGAATGCGATTTAGAATGGTTTTAAAAATCAAGGCTTATCAAAATCATCACATGGTTTGACATAATTAATGCCAATGCTTCACAAATCAGAAATTTCAACCTCTTAATACTACTATCGGCTTTCGGTTTTCGTTCCAAGTTAAATTATTTTTTGATTTTTTACGCTAAGTTTACCCTTGTGGGCCTCAGTCTCGATAAAGTGGGAACCACCATTTTAGCGTCTCTCGAATTAAATATAAAATGTTTAATATTAAGAAATGTTTTAAATAATATTGTTATGAATAATAAGATTATCCTTTATTTTTATCTTTACTGATATTTAATTATTAATCGGGAAAATTTAAATTAAGTTTTTATATAGATTTCTAGAAAAGAGGGTATAGAGCAGCCATACTCAACCTTTTTTTTCCTTTGGGCCACATACGTATGTTTGCTATGTTACACGGGCTGCAATATATTGAATGGTGACTCTTTATTTAGGTTATCCATTTACAATTAGTTAGTGGGAATCTGTAATAAATAAAATAAAAAAACACAAATATATCCCGTCGAGTAACTGCAAAAACAAGATAACTCACATTTTTAGAAAACATAATTAGTCTTCACAAAGTATAAACGATTTGTAACAAAAAAAAAGTGGGAAAAAACGTCAATTTGCTTATTTTAGCTGTCTACATGCAGATCATAATATTCAATGTCTGTATCAATATCTTCAATGGAAGGTTCAGGTACCGTATCTTTAACATTATTTGATAAAGGTAGATTTTGTGTAGTACCTACCTGATTTGCAAAGTTTTAGTAAATCTTTCTTCTTGGCATTACTAATGTATTGCACTTTTTTGTAAGTATTTTTAGAGCTTTTTTCGCCCTTTCAGGAATCCCTCTACCAGTATAACTAGGATTTATCAAGCAATGTAAAAAGCTGGTGTTTCGGTAATTTAAGAAGTGCTTCTGTTGTTTTAACGCGAAAATAATATGGAGACGAGCGTCAGCATCCCTGCTCGTTACAGCTGGACCAAGTACTTATTACGGCTAATCAATCATTCACCACGGCGATTCGGGCCTCACGTGTTATCATCTATTGGTCTTTAAAGGTAAGCTGTATCGTGGAAAGAAAGGGTGACGTAATCACCTTGTCGATTTCGGACCAATCGAGAAAGGCCAGAGACAGTTCTAGGCAAAATATTGAAGTATTTCAACAAATACATTCAACAAAAATAAGTGTTCTGACCTTTATCTTATTTTGACCGAAACACTGTTAGGAATCGGACTAAAAACATTTAACAAAAATAATTTATTTCTCTGGTTTTGGTAGACACACTATTAGCCACTTAACACAATGTTATAATTATATTTTGGTAAAAATACCATCTATCTTGTTTGTGCATACTGCGAATGTAACAATATGGAAATACATTTTTGACCATTTGTTTATAATTCGTTCACATTTTTGTTTATGCCGTATATTATTTAAACTATTTTGGAAATAAAAGTGTACATAACTCGAAAATGCCAAAAGTGGAGCTATCTTCTTTTTGTAGTAACTCTATGATCCGAACATTTATTTAAAAATTAGCGTCATATTTAGCGCAGGGACCTATGTATGTTTTCGTGCATTTTGTGCAAAACTTTAAAAACACAAACCAATAGTAGACCAGGGTCGATAATTTTTGAAACTAAAAATAATAATAGTAGGATGAAACCCGTTAAAAAAGGACGACAATATAACAAAAATAAAAGGAAAAATAATTTACGGGCGATCTGAGGTCGGGAAGTGGAAGGAAGTGAGTTTTTATGGGTAAAAAACGGTGAATCTTGATTTCCGGCAAAACTACAAGTCCTATAAAAAAAATTAAATGACAAAGTTGTAGGTAATAAAGAGACCGACAACTTTTGTAAATACACTTTTTTCACATAACCTCAAAATTTATGTGAAAAATTCAAATAATCTAGTTTTTGGATTTTTATTTTTATATGCAAAAAAAATTTTTTTTTTCGAAATTTGGAGAAAACTTACCTTTTTATGTCCTAAAGACACTGTAATTTTTTTGATTTGAAATATTTATTTTTTTCACCTTCTTTTGACTTAATATCGAAAAAATTATTGCGTCAAAATATCAGCTTTTTAAAAAAAATCGGGATGTTTGTTGTTCGTTAAAATCTCTTCTTTCTGATAATGTAAAAAAATATATACATAACTATGGTAAATGTTCTTAGAAAATTGAAAGAAAAGAAAAAAACTCGAATCCGAAATTTTTTTTACACACTATGTACAATTTTGAGCAATTTAGTAAAATTGACACTTTAATTACTTGAAAAACAAAAAAATTACAAATCCATAAATCATAAAAATTGCAAGAAACATGCGAAAATAGTTGTTCTAAATATTAAAGATAGGATTTAAAGGGGGGATTTCAATTAAAAAATGTGCTTGCTGCAATTTTTTTAGTCAAAATGTTGATTTATTAAATTCTAATTACATTTATGTCATAGAAAATCTCATAATATATGAATAGAAATGTAAATCGTACTATTGAATATAGATACTTTATACTGATTATTATTATTCATAATAATATTTTAGAATGCATTAATCTTCTTATTTATAAATCTTATCTTGAACCCTTATCACTTATCCATTACTTTTTGTTTTTTCGGTGGCATTTCTTTATCGTTAGATTCGACAAACCTTCCCGATTCTAGTAGATCTTCGAAATCTTCAAGACCATCACCGTCTTCGTATCCAATATTATTGTTAGTCTGAATTGGTCCTTCATCCACAATTTCATCTGAATGACTTACTTCCTTGTAAGTTTTTTCTTCCACATTCGTTAATTTTTTAGAACCATTACAATTTGAGCATAAATTTGTGCATTTTAAGCCATGTTTTCGGCAGCCGCATTTTAAACTGTTACATCCAGTTTCACAGCTGCAGCAAATAGTTTTGAGCAATATTTCCAAAATTAGCTCCTTCTCTGTAAATTTGGGCATAATCCCACGTTGATGTTGCTATCAGTTCATTACCTAGCCAAGTTTGAAGTTGATAATATGCCCTGTAACAATTTTGTTCTGCTGCACCTTCTGTGGGAGGGAGATTTGCCAATATGAAAGATGATTTAATTTTTGCCAATTGATATTTTTAACATCTTAATTGATTCAGTGTTATATTATCACTTTTACATTTATACATAGATTTGATTAATTGTAATCCATTTTTTTTTATATCTTTTTTGTTTGCATCTTTTTTATAAAAAATATTAGCCAAATTTGACACATTTTTATCGTCTAATAATGAATTTACAATACTCTTCTTTCCTTTTCCGGTAAATCTAGATGTTGTGTCGCAACCAGATATTTTTGAAGGATTCATATTTGAAACTATTAGACGTGAAAAATAGATCTTTTACATTTCCAGAACCTGGTTTGAGAAAATAAATGTTATGATTATTTGAAGTTAATCGATTCAAAAGGACCAAAAGATCAATATCTTGATCCACAACAATGACAGTTTTATTGGTATCTCTGGCAATTTCTATCGAAGTTTTAATAATGTCTGCATCACCATCTTCTTTTGCTTGTTTACAGGAAAATCCTTGTGACTGTAATCTTTTCATTAACGTTTTTATTATTTTGTCCTTGTTTTTCTCGTTAGATAAAAAATTTTCTTGCAGAAATGGTATTTTTGTATGGTTTTGATAATCAAACTCTAAAATATTGTCTGAGGTTTTTCTACGACTACGGTCTCCTTTTTTAGTTCAAGTAGCTGCTGGTACTGTTGTCACAGTAACTGATTTTTTAATTTCGGGGTACCCATCAAAAACGATATATAAGTTATCTTAAAATAACAATAAATAGGCTTCTATGCATATAATTTAAAGAATATTCTACAACTTTCTCAAAATATTGTAGATGTCATATTAAATATTAACTTATTTGGTTGTTAATTATAGTAGTATATTTTGATTTGAATTTTTTCAATTTAACATAGAATCTTACGTTTTTCAAGTAATTAAAGTGTAAATTTTACTAAATAGCTAATGCATTTTCTGAGAACATTTACCATAGTAATGTATATATTTTTTTACATTATTAGAAAGAAGAGATTCCAACGAACAAAAAACTCCCCGACTTTTTTTAAAAAGCTGATATTTTTACGCGAGAATTTTCGATTGAAAATCAAGGTGTTTTTTCGATATTAAGTCAAAATAAGGTGCAAAAATAAATATTTCAAATCAAAAAAATTACAGTGTCTTTAGGACATAAAAAGGTAAGTTTTCACCAAATGTCGTGAAAAAAATTTTTTTTTGCATAATATAAAATGAAAAACCAAAAACTTGATTATTTGAATTTTTCACATAAATTTTGGGGTTATGAGAAAAAAGTGTAATTATAAAAGTTGTAGGTCTCTTTATTACCTACAACTTTGTCATTTAATTTTTTTCCATAGGACTTGTAGTTTTGCCGAAAATCGAGATACACCATTTTTTACCCTTAAAAACTCACCCCCTTCCACTTTCCGACCTCAGATCGCCCGTAAATTATTTAACCTTTCATTTTTGTTATATTCTCGTCCTTTTTTAATGGGTTTCATCTTACTATAAATTTTTTTTTACTTTTTACCATTTTTAAAATTATCGACCCTGGTCTATAGTTATAAAACGCATCTTCTTAATAATAGTGTTTCAGACCGCAAAAAAAGTTTTGGAGAACCGCATGCAGCCCGTAGGCCGCAGATTGAGTATGGCTGGTATAGAGTGAATTTTAATTATGTACATTGGTTTATATAAAATTCTTTATGTTTTAAAAACAAGGAATTACGTTAAATTTTTAATAAATGTAGTATCCAAAGTTTTAGTTTTTAAAATAAACTATTTAAATAATAAAAATTTGCTTGCTTATACTCACCAGTAGATCCTAACGTTTTAAATCCTGTTTCGATTGCATCCGACAAACAAGCATCTAGTTTTGGGTCACTTCGATGACACACTTTGAAGCTGTCAGCTAAAAACAAATTATATTTTATGATCTGAAAACGGAAATATTTATTGTACAAATACGAAGGAACGATTGATTATAGAGAAATAAAAGTTTTTGCAACAAGAGTGGATATGATGACCATATTTCATGACGCTGAAGATACTCCATAGGGTAAAGAAATATTAACAGGCCCGATCGAGACCAGTGATGAGGACGAGATAAACACCCAACAATTTGATAACCCCAAAATATCAAATTAAATACAGCATAGTCATAGACGACATAGGCAGCTTCGAATCTCATATCAATGAGGAGGCAAGGAAATCCAACGATAGGATGAACAAACTAGCCAAAATAATGCAAAAAATTGGAGGTTTCTAGGCAAAAATTTTAAAATCTATTTTATAATTTTGCTGTAAGAATATATTGTAAATAATATTAATAATAATGTTTATTCAATAATACAGTGTGTCGCATTTAAGATGAAGACACCCCTATATTTTGTCTATCTAAATTAATACAGATTTGAACTTTTGCACAGTCATACAGGGTGATGGTTCACATTTTTTAAGATACTCAACTGGAATTTAAATTTTAGACGCGGCCTACTGCGAATCCACAAACAGGGTCAATTTTCGATATTTTTCTTCGCGTTAGAGATATCAGAAAAAGTTATTTGAAAAAGTTGTTCCGAATATTATTCTAAAACCACATACCAAATTTATGACAAAATTCGCATTTTTAGTTTTTTTTCATTATTTTGGTCAATACACAAAATTATTAAAAGTGGATTTTTTTATTCGATAAACTAGTGTGCCATGGAAAGAATTTCGAAAATGTCAAATTATTCCTATTCGTGGCACATTAGTTTATCGAATAAAAAAAATCCACCATTAATAATTTTCTGTATTGACCAAAATAATGAAAAAAACTAAAAATGCGAATTTTGTCATAAATTTGGTATGTGGGTTTAGAATAATATTCGGAACAACTTTTTCAAATAACTTTTTCTGATATCTCTAACGCGAAGAAAAATATCGAAAATTGACCCTGTTTGTGGATTCGCAGTAGGCCGTGTTTAAAATTTAAATTTCAGTTGAGTATCTTGAAAACTGTAAACCATCACCCTGTATGACTGTGCAAAATTTCAAATCTGTATTTACTTAGATAGTTAAAATATATGGGTGTCTTCATCTTAAATGCGACACACTGTATAAATATAAAAATGTACATTATAATTTTTACAAAGTTAAAAGAAACATATAATATAATGAATAAACATAAATCCACTGAAACCGATTTGCAGGCAGTGTCAGTTTGTATGTGGGAACTTTCTTATGAAAAAAAAAAAAATATATATAAAATTTTATTAACATTAATAAAAATCTGATGTGTCCAACACATGACTTTCCTATCTAGTTATTACAGACTTTTTCCGGTTATTTTGTACAACCTATTGCAGCATCTCTATAAATGTTTAGAGGATAAACTAAATATATACATTGTCCACATACATCTACCGCAAAGCATTTTTCTATAGATATTCATTGAAAATGAAAATACTGAAAAATTTAAATTTAGCACTTTTCCTACAATTTTTCCATTACGGTCCATTTTAAAAAAATCATGTATGAACAAATATTATAGAGATCGATATCGCAAACAACTTTTATTTCAACAATTTTCATAAAAATCAGAATTTTGCACATTTTGTCAAATTTTTCGAATACGGACCATTTCAGGAAATTTTTACATAAAGCAAAAATTATAGATAATATTAGAAGTAACTTTTATTTGAACAATTTTTTTCTCCAAACATAACAGATATATTCCATAAAATATAAAAACGGCCTCCCATAAAGTACCCCCCCAGATGTTCCGACTTTGTCCAAAATCTAATCATTTCACGTCAGGCCGAAATAAAACTTAAGTTTAAAATTTAATGTTTTTTTCTTTATCCGTTTTTGAGTTTTCTTCAAATTTTGAAATTTACACATTTTCTCAAATATCTTGAATACGGTCCATTTTAGAGAAATTATCTATAGAATAAAAATTATAGAGAATTATATTACAAACAACTTTTGTTTGAACAATTTTTATAAAAAAAATATTTTTTTACATTTTGTCAAATTTCGCGAATACGGACCATTTTAAGAAAATTTTGTATATAACAAAAATTATAGATAATAAAATAAGAAGTAACTTTCATTTGAAGAATTTTCTTCCCCAAACGTAAATAACAGATATATTCTATAAAATATAAAAATGACCACCCATAAAGTACCCCCCCAGATGTTCCGACTCTGCCCAAAATCTAATCAGCTCATTAGACGCTGGAACAAAGCTTAAGTTTGAAATTTGGTGTTTTTCCGTGTATCGGTTCATGAGTTATGCGTTATACAGACACACACACAGACACACAGACACACACACACACAGACATCATCGCGAAAATAGTCAAAACGGATTCAGGGGACCTCAAAACGTAAAAATCCGTCAAAAACTCGAGGTCGAAAAAAATCATGATTCCTATACTTTCCTTATATCTGTATACAGATAGGAAAGTAAAAATAGTTCAATAAAGTATCACAATAAGGTAAAGCGTCACAATAGGGTTAATATGAGTCACAATTAGGGTAAAGCATCACAATAGGGTGAAGCGACATATAAGGTATAGTGTCGCATTGGGTAAAGAACAACAGTTTGATAAAATATTGTTTTAATCGGTATGACAGTTAAAGTATAATACAATTAAAATTAATATTATGTATGGTGTATAGAAGGTATAACATAATTTGATACAAGAACTTATATTAGTTAATTTAGTTTATTAATAATTTAATTTAGTTTGGTGTACTCAAGGTATACCGTACGATATGTTATTTATTACATTATAAAATGTTACTCTGGGTGTATCTTTAATCCAAAGTTTAAGTGATTTTTTTAAATGTAATTGTATTTTGGATATTTTTAAGTTCTGCTGGAATGCTGTTATAAATTTTAGGTGCAAGGTAATTAATGCTTCGTTGTTTGTTTTTTCAGATTTAGGTACCTTTACATTAAAGTTTTTGTTTCTGGTAGAATACGAGTGTGACAGAGGTTCTATAATTATTTTTTTTATGAATGTTTATAATAATTTTTTGACAAAACAGTTGCCTTACGTCAAGTACATTACTAATTTGATATAATGCGTTACTAGAAAACCTAATGTGTTTTCTGTTTATAATTCTTAGTATCCATTTTTGTAATATGTTCACTTTATCAAGATGGCAATCATGAACTTCTCCTCATCTCAGCATGCCATAAGACAACTGTGATTAAACTAAGGCAAAGTAAAGAATATGTAAATGATTAATATCTAAAAAATTTGTCAAATATCGAAATCAGCCTGTTAAGCCTCGTATTTTATTAATCAAATTATCAATTTGTGAATCCCATCGTAAATGTCTATCAATGATGATTCCTAAATATTTAACTGCTTTCTCTTCTGGGATCTCTGTATTGTTATCAATAAGGAGATTGCCGAACTGAGGTAAGTTATTTACGTATGAAGTAAATGGTAGATAACAGATTTTTCCAACATTTAGTGTAAGTTTATTGTATTGTAACCATTTCTTAATTTGTTTGAAATCTGTTTCTGCAGTTTGCTTTAATTCGGCCCAAGAATCTGCCTGATAAAAAATCGTGGTATCATCAGCAAAACTAAGGACCGCACCTTTGATGTCAAGATTTAGTAAGATATTTATATAGATAATAAAGAGAATTAGCCCCAGGACTGTTCCTTGTGGAACGCCAAATGTTACTGTTCTCGCCTCGCTCTTGATTCCATTAATTACAACCTGCTATCGTCTATCCCTTAAATAACTTTTTAACAGTTCATATGCTTACCTCCTAATACCATACGCATAAAGCTTTTTCATAAGAGTTTTGTGACAGACCGCATCAAAGGCTTTAGAGAGATCAACGAAGATAATTAAGGCAGGAATTTGTTTATCAATTGTTTCATAAATTAAAGATGTTAATGCACAAATAGCATCCCCTGTTAAGTTACCCGCTCTAAAACCATATTGATGATCTTAGATAATTTTATGTTTAGAAACTGACGCTCTTAAAAAGTTTTTCTATTATTTAAGATAAAGTAGATAGCAAAGATATTGGTCGGTAATTACCGACTTCTAGTTTATTTCCAGATTTAAATAAAGGCTCAATCAATCCAACTTTTAGTGATTTGGGAAAATAGCCGTTATCAAAACATCTGTTGATGATAATTTTTAAGCGATTTGCAATAAGATCTGCGACCTCTTTTGAGGTCTCATCTTTTATATCTTCTAATCCAGGCGGTTTCCTTGATTTAAAAGTTTTTATTGTTTTTGTAATTTCCTCTTCACTGGTATGTGACAAAAACATGCTTTTTTCAAGTTAAATTCGTAGGCGAGCTAAAAGTCATTAAGAATTAAGTCAGTCATTGTTTTTCGATAATATTTGAGATATTTTTGTTACTGTTTGCCTTTGCACATATACTATTTATACAGCTCCATAGATTTTTTAAAGATGATTTATTATCACTTATACATTTGTTTACATAATTAGTTTTATTTTTTTTTTTTTATTACACGATTTAGATTATTTTTGCATTTGTTGTATTCTGATTTCAACTCTTGATTATTTGGATTTTTGCAAAATTTTTCATAAAGTTTATTTTTATGTGAAACAGATTTTATTAAATTAATATTTATCCAAGGTTTTTTTGGTTTTTTATTAGATACAATTTTAACAGAATTTGTGCAATTGGTAACGTGACTCTTAAGAATTGTCATAAATGTGTCTATCATAAAATCTATATCGTTTGATGTTTCTAAGAATTTCCAAGAATTCCATGCTCAAGTAAATTCTCAATTTTGTGTAATTAACGAATTTTTTAAAATTAGAAATATTAAGTGTTTTTAAATAGTGATAATTCATTATCAGACCGATAAGATCGTGATCTGTTGTGTCGTGTAGCAGAATAAAAGATTTAATATCCG